CCCTCCCCCCCATCCATTTCGTAATCCCCCACTGGCCTCTACCGCCACAACTCCGCCCGTGCGCGCCCCAGCCATCTAAATCATTCCATTATCGTGTCACCGTCTGTTTTGTTTGTTTGATTGAACCACGTGAAGCGCGCCTCGAGTGAAGGCGCTCTCCATAAATATAAAATTAGATCAGCGACGGCAGAGATTTAGCGGTTTGCTCCAATAAAAGAGCACAAACCGCTACCCCCTAACCCTAACCCCGGGTGGCTGGGATATAATCGCCCACGCTCAGTAATCTCTCTTGGCAGAGTGAATTCTACTCTCCCCCCCCCTTCCACCCCTGCCCCGTCCGTCGCCCACTCAGCCTCCTCCTCCCCCCCACCACCACCACCACCACGACTCCCGCGGGGGTCAAACGAGACGAGTGCCCTGGATTCTCTCTTTTTTAAATCCTTTATATGAAGTTCACTTGCTTCCTTGCTTGGGCGCTTACGACCGTGCAAATCTTGCGGTCGTTTTTTTAACCAACTTCCCGTGATCCAATCGAGCTGACATTTTGCACACAGACTCGTTGTGCGTGACAATTTATTTTCGTGAAAATGTTTTTTCCATAACTTTACACTTTTTAGGAAAAAATAAGTGAAATTTAATTACCAATTGCTTAATGGTGGCAGGCAATCATCTGACCCATAGGTGGCAGCCATCTCAAGCCAGAGGACGAGAGGATTCTAGCCGCCACACATATAAAGGATTTATAGTGAAAAACTTTGTTTTTACGGGTTAATTTTTAAATCCTTTATATTAAATTCACTTGCTTGCTTGCTTGCGCGCTTACGACCGTGCAAATCTTTCGGTCGTTTTTTTAACCCACTTCCCGCGATCCAATCGAGCTGACATTTTGCACACAGACTCGTTGTGCGTGGCAATTTATTTTCGTGAAAAAAATGTTACAACATTTTCCACTTTTTAGGAAAAAATAAATTATATTTAATTACCAATTGCTTAATGGTGGCAGGCAATCATCTGACCCCTAGGTGGCAGCTATCTCAAGCCAGAGGACGAGAGGACTATAGCCGCCACGCATATAAAGGATTTATAGTGAAAAACTTAGTTTTTACGGGTTAATTTTTTTGTTTGTTCCGCGAGCGGCCAGCGAGCGTCATCACCCAGCAAGCCACCAGGGCGCTTCGAGTTGACGGCAGCGAGGGAGCGCCACGCTGCCAAACCTGGGACCTCCCCAAGTTCCGTTCCCGGCCAGGGCGACTCAACGTCCTGTGGCGAAATGATGAATCTAGAAAGAATTCCTGGAAACCGCCACCCATGCCCCACGTTCAATTCTTCCACAACCCACCCCGTCCCTTCATCACGCTCACCAGCGTTGTGAAGTATGGTTCAGCGGGTAGCCGCTCGTCTATTTGATGGATTGAGAAGTCACTGAAAATTCTAGATTTGAAGCTTTCGTGACTGCAATGATTCATATTCTCAGGTTTTTTTTTTCGGTAAAGTCACGTAGGTAAAAACATTTGTATTTTTTTTTATTTTATTTTACTTTTTAATGTTTTTACCTACGTGACTTTACCGAAAAAAAACCCTAAGAATATGAAGTCACTGAAAATGTTATTATGATACGGTCGAAGGTGACAGCATAACCCTGCAGTAGCAGGCCATGAATGACGTATGGTCAGACAACTGCTGCCAAGGGCTCAACGTTCAGCTTTGTGGCTCGGACATCGAACAAAGGCGGTGACCAACGCATCACGTGACGCTTTCAGATGCGCTTCTGCGGCTGTGGAAAGCGCTCTTCCTTGCGATGTTGGGAAGCACACAGGAGCTACGCACTAGATTGACGAACTCATTTGATTAGAACTGCCTTTTGTGTTTAGTCTGTTGTCCCCCTTTCCTCCTCCATGCTCCAACCCGGTCCCCTCCTCCTCCTCCCCACCCACCTCCTCCACCCCCACCCACCCCCACCTCCCCCACCCCCACCCACCCCCTCCTCCCCCACCCCCACCCACCCCACCCACCCCCTCCTCCCCCACCCCCACCCACCCCCACCCACCCCCTCCTCCCCCACCCCCACCCACCCCCACCTCCTCCACCCCCACCCACCCCCACCTCCTCCCACCTCCTCCACCCCCACCCACCCCCACCTCCACCCCCACCCACCCCCACCTCCTCCCACCTCCTCCACCCCCACCCACCTCCTCCACCCCCACCCACCCCCCTCCTCCTCCACCCCCACCCACCCCCACCCTCCTCCACCCCCACCCCACCCACCCTCCTCCACCCCCACCCACCCCCACCTCCTCCACCCCACCCACCCCCACCTCCTCCACCCCACCCACCCCCACCTCCTCCACCCCCACCCACCCCCACCTCCTCCACCCCACCCACCCCCACCTCCTCCACCCCCACCCACCCCCACCTCCTCCACCCCCCACCCACCCCCACCTCCCCCCACCCCCACCCACCTCCTCCACCCCCACCCACCCCCCACCTCCCCCACCCACCCCCACCCACCCCCACCTCCTCCACCCCCACCCACCCCCCACCTCCTCCACCCCCACCCACCCACCCCCACCCACCTCCACCTCCTCCTCCATCCCCACCCACCCCCACCCCCACCCACCTCCTCCACCCCCACCCACCCCCACCTCCTCCACCCCCACCCACCCACCCACCTCCCCCACCCCCACCCACCTCCACCCACCTCCTCCACCCCCACCCACCCCCACCTCTTCCATCCCCACCCACCCCCACCTCCCCCACCCCCCACCCACCTCCTCCACCCCCACCCACCCCCACCTCCTCCCACCTCCTCCACCCACCCCCACCTCCTCCACCCCCACCCACCCCCACCTCCTCCACCCCCACCCACCCCCACCTCCTCCCACCTCCTCCACCCCCACCCACCTCCACCCACCCCACCCACCCCCACCTCCTCCACCCCACCCACCCCCACCTCCTCCACCCCACCCACCCCCACCTCCTCCACCCCACCGACCCCCACCTCCTCCACCCCACCCACCCCCACCTCCCCCACCCCCACCCACCCCCACCCTCCTGCACCCCCACCCACCCCCACCTCCTCCACCCCCACCCACCCCCACCCACCCCACCTCCTCCACCCCCACCCACCCCCACCTCCTCCACCCCCACCCACCCCCACCCACCCCCACCTCCTCCACCCCCCCACCCCCACCTCCTCCACCCCCACCCACCCCCACCCACCCCCACCTCCTCCACCCCCACCGACCCCCACCTCCTCCACCCCCACCCACCCCACCTCCTCCACCCCCACCCACCCCCACCTCCTCCCACCTCCTCCATCCCACCCACCCCCACCTCCTCCACCCCCACCCACCCACCCCCACCTCCCCCACCCCCACCCACCCCCACCTCCTCCACCCCCACCCACCCCCACCCACCCCCACCCACCCCCACCTCCTCCCACCTCCTCCATCCCCACCCACCCCCACCTCCTCCACCCCCACCCACCCCCTCCTCCTCCACCCCCATCCACCCCCACCTCCTCCACCCCCACCCACCCCCTCCTCCTCCACCCCCACCCACCCCCACCTCCTCACCCCCACCCACCCCCACCTCCTCCACCCCCCACCTCCTCCACCCCCACCCACCCGCACCTCCTCCACCCCCACCCACCCCCACCCACCCCCACCCCCACCCACCCCCTCCTCCTCCACCCCACCCACCACCACCTCCTCCACCTCCACCGCTCACCCAATGTAGCGAACTGTCACCCAGCAGCACCCACGGTGTTTGGAGTTCTCCATCAGCACGAGTGGTGGTGTTGTTGGTGGTGTTGGTGTTGGTTGGCGGTGGTGGTGTTGGTGGTGGTGTTGGTAGTGGTTGGCGGTGGTGGTGTTGGTGTTGTTGGTGGTGGTTGGCGGTGGTGGTGGTGGGGTCGGGTTTGTTCAGTCACCACCGCGTCTGTACACGCGATTGTTTGCGTAGGAAAACAAAACGCGTCTCTGATCACTTCCCTTCCTTCTCTCCTTCACGACGTCGCCGCCTCGGCCGCTCACGATGTCGAGCAGATGGAGGCTGTGCCGTTTGTCGCAGAGCAATTCATTAAGCGGGGCACTAACGTCGGGATTCACAATTACACCGGGGGGGTAGGTAGGGGAGGTGAGGGGGGAGGGGCAGCCGCATCACTGGGGGATTGCAATCTTCAAAGACGGTGGTGGGGGAGGGGGGGTACGACCGCTGGGTGACCCGTGCGTTGTACGGCCGCTAAGAGCCCCCCCCCCCCCCCCAAGACTGGGCTCGTGGTGGGGGGGGGGGTGGAAGTCGGACTCTGAAATCCATCCAGGAGACAGAGGATTGGTGAGCGTATCCGCCGTGATGAGACTCATTGATACAAGTGCGTTCCATTTGTTAAGCGCTTTATCACCAAGGATTCTCAAAGTTTCTACACGGCAGGCGCAGCAGACAATCGGCGTTCTAATGATAATTGTATTATAAGGGGCCGTCCATAAATGACGTCACGCGATTTTTGACGATTTTTGACCCCCCCCCCCCCTTCGTCACACAAAGTCAGATCCCCCCTCAAATATGACGTCACAAAGCTCTGCCCGCCCCCCCCCCCCCCCGACAGACCAAAGACAGGTCTGTCTTTCCGACAGCTCTGTTCTTCACCTGAGGACGGCTGCTTGCGTTGTGGCCGAAACGTCGTGAGAATTATTTTATGTTTTATTATTGTATTATTTCCCTTCTACGTGACTTTACCGAAAGAACCAAGAATATGCCCCCCCCCCCCTCCACTCGTCGTCACTCCGACGCGATAGAGCTAGAGGCGAAGCCCCCGCATTGCTAGCCCCCATGCCCTGCTGGTGGAAGAGAAAGCGAGGTGGTAGTACCAACAACTTTACAACACCGCACACGATCAAGCGGTGCTGCTGCTGCTGCTGCTGCTCCTGCTGCTGCTGCTGCTGCTGCTGCTCCTGCTGCTGCTGCTGCTCCTGCTGCTGCTGCTGCTCCTGCTGCTGCTGCTCCTGCTGCTGCTGCTGCTGCTGCTCCTGCTGCTGCTGCTCCTGCTGCTGCTGCTGCTGCTCCTGCTGCTGCTGCTGCTGCTCCTGCTGCTGCTGCTCCTGCTGCTGCTGCTGCTGCTGCTGCTCCTGCTGCTGCTGCTCCTGCTGCTGCTGCTGCTGCTGCTGCTCCTGCTGCTGCTGCTCCTGCTGCTGCTGCTCCTGCTGCTGCTGCTCCTGCTGCTGCTGCTCCTGCTGCTGCTGCTCCTGCTGCTCCTGCTCCTGCTGCTGCTGCTCCTGCTGCTGCTGCTCCTGCTCCTGCTGCTGCTGCTGCTGCTGCTGCTCCTGCTGCTGCTGCTCCTGCTGCTGCTGCTGCTCCTGCTCCTGCTGCTGCTGCTCCTGCTGCTCCTGCTGCTGCTGCTGCTGCTCCTGCTGCTCCTGCTGCTGCTGCTGCTGCTCCTGCTGCTGCTGCTGCTGCTCCTGCTGCTGCTGCTGCTGCTCCTGCTGCTGCTGCTGCTGCTCCTGCTGCTCCTGCTGCTGCTGCTGCTGCTCCTGCTGCTGCTGCTGCTGCTCCTGCTGCTGCTGCTGCTGCTCCTGCTGCTGCTGCTGCTGCTCCTGCTGCTGCTGCGGTGGTGGCAAGATCGCCGATTGTGGGGTTGATTTTGAGAAATTCCCCAACCCCCCTTCACGAGTTGGACAACTTGGTCTGAGCGACAGCGACCCGTCGTTCAAGTCGTTTCAATTTCAAAGCGTCCGCCTTTGCGTTGTTATTCTCTTTGTTCTCGCGTTAGCTTGACTCGTTGTACAACCCAATAGATTACTTGGTATTCTAACTACGCAATAGAGTCATTGCTATTCTAACTACCCAATAGAGTCGTTGATATTCCAACTAAGCAATAAAGTAATTGCTATTCTAACTAATCAATAGATTCCCTGCTATTCTAACTACCCAATGGAGTCGTTGCTATTATAACTACGCAATAGATTCCTTGCTATTCTAACTACCCAATAGAGTCGTTGATATTCCAACTAAGCAATAAAGTAATTGCTATTCTAACTAATCAATAGATTCCCTGCTATTCTAACTACCCAATGGAGTCGTTGCTATTATAACTACGCAATAGATTCCTTGCTATTCTAACTACCCAATGGAGTCGTTGCTATTCTAACTACCCAATGGAGTCGTTGCTATTCTAACTACTCAATAAAGTCGTTGCTATTATAACTACCGAATAAAGGCGTTGCTATTCTGACTACTCAATAAAGTCGTTGCTATTCCAACTACCCAACAGATTCCTGCTATTCTAACTACACAATAACGTCGTTGCTATTCTAACTACGCAATAGATTTTTTGCTATTCTAACTACCCAATAGTGTCGTAATTTTATCCAACTCTGCCCGCATGGGATACGCGCCCGTGCAATTGCAGCAAAACGTGACGGCTGAAAGGCCATCATAATATTGGGTCAGCAGTTTTACAACGTAGCATTTCACGGCCAACAACATTCCAATCCATAATTAGATTGTCGTGCGGAAGTAATGCCGATTTTCAGCTGCAAATTGCCATTATACCTACACGACTATGTAACCCAAGCGTAACTACCGTAATCATGCACCCCCATCAGCACGGCTGGCTACGTCCGATGTAACACAAGTTAAACATACACAATCCATACTCTGGCCAATGTTTCAACCGCTACCCCTCGAGGTGGAATCGAACTCCCTCCGCATCGCACGTCCGTCCGATTCGCTGACCATTAAACCGAGACCGCACTAGCAGCACCGAGGCATTACAATTGTAGTGGTGATAACTACTCGCTGTTCGCGAGCGGATCTTAAAAAAAAGGTTTTCCCGATCAATCAAACGGTCAGGGTCAAATGGGGTGAGGTAAGATCCAAACTCCAGATTGGGAAGGACCAATCGGAGGGTTCCACTGGGTTGCCACCGGGGATTGGACAACCCGGCCACGAACAGGTATAAAAGCCAGAGCGCTGAGAGCTCTTGGCCAGTTCTGCTACACGAAGACCCAAGTCGGCCGAAGACATCTAGGACCCTGGACCAAGCCCTCCAGCCCTTGTCAGGGCTCGGGCTCAGAGTAACCAGTGGTCGGGGAGAGATCCCCTATGTCCAGCCAGAGGACGCTGGGAGAGCAGGGAGATTAGCCTGCAAGGTCCGGAGGCTGTACCTCCTCAGGGTCACGGGTGAGGGGACCGTATACCCCTTAGTGTGATAGGCACTGTGTATTAAGACAATAAACAGTGTGTGCCATAAAGAAGTTTAGAAGTCCGTCCTTTACAACACTACACAATCATCAACTGGCTCCCACCCCCCCCCCCCCCGAGACTCTTCGTGAGGTGCTGATCTTAAAGGTGCATTGAAAAATGTTGATACTCCGACTGATGCTCCTGCTGTTGTGGAGTGACTCATGCAGCCAGCTATGGCTGCAGAGTTTGGTAGTACATGTTGTTTACGTCGTTTATTATGAAAATTCGGTCACAGTTCTTATGACCTGCACTGTTTCATTGCTTTTATGGCTTTATTTTGGTGATTTTCGATACGTTTTTTGGTTTAGTCATGTTTGTTTGTTGTAGTACAGAGTTAGACTTATGGCCTTAATCTAAGTTGTCTTGTGGTTGTTGTTGTTGTTTGACTTGCATCCCACTGGGATTTTTGCACAGCGTTGGTGTACTGTGTTTTTTATGCAATATTTTGCTGTCTTTTCTTGGATTTTCTGTTTGCACATAGTCACTTTCTTGTTCATGTTTTTTGTTTGTTGCGGTTGCACCCGATTCAAGAGCCGAATGGCTCACAGAGCTACACCTAATACATGAACTTTGAATCTAGATTTGAAGCTTTCGGTAAAAGTCACGTAGGTAAAAAATGAAATATTTTTTTTATTATTTATTAATTTAAATTTCATTTTTTACCTACGTGACTTTACCGAAAAAAACAAGAGTATGAACTTTGAACTTGAACCACGCGGATGCAGGCGGGGTCATGGCGGTCCTGCCGCGCGATGGAGCTGTTGCGAGGAGGGTGGTGGTAGCTTCCAGGGAGATCGATAATGCGGCTATTGGCCGGGTTGTCTCGGATCTCTCGCTCAACAACAACCACCACTACTAACCACGCTGTGTTCAACCACCACCACCACTAACCACGCTGTGTTCAACCACCACCACCACCACTAACCACGCTGTGTTCAACCACCACCGCACTGCAGATCACAACAACTCACTTCACCCACCCACCAGTTCAAAGACAAAGATCGCCCGTATAGCCTGTCACGGACGATTGGGGCAAGTGCTGTCAGCGAAGGCCGGAATGCCACACGAGCGGGTGGGTGGCCAGCACCACGCCCGACCGCCTTTGTCTCTCCAGTAGCGATGTTTACCAGGTACTAATTTGAGTCTGAGTCGACCTAGGGGAGGTCCAGGGACCGGTTCAGATCATCGTCACCGGTGTTGGCCGTGAGCGAGACTCGGGGTTTGTAGCGCAGAGCGTGAAACGCTGCAGTCATCGGTTCACCCACTCAGTCACCCACTTGCTTACACAGAGACAAAGATCCCCCGTATAGCCCTCGACAGACTGCTAGGCAAAGTTCTGTTAGCGAGCACCCATTGAAGGGGCCGTCCATAAATGACGGAACGCACCTGGGGGGGGGGTGGTTCAGACATTTGTGATGATGTGTGACGAGGGGGGGGGTTGAGAAATCTGACGTCACATCAAAATGCGTGTAGTAGCTGCACGTGTAGTAGCTGCACGTGTAGTAGCTGCATTAGTAGTAGCTACACGTGTAGTAGCTGCACGTGTAGTAGCTACGGGCCCCGCACTTTCAAAGCGCCCGCGCGAAATGCTCCCAAGCTATCAATTCTGGTTCAGTGATTCTGCACTTGCTCTATTACTATAGTACTATACCGCCCTTCAACTTTTACGAACGACCGGGTGTTTAAGGTTCGCAATTTGTCGCATTATCTGTCTGTACAGCCAATGAAAAAATACAATTGCATTACAAGTTAAAACATTTGCGTTTTAATATTTACGTGTTTATTTATTTATTTAGGGGCCCCTTTATATCAAATGCTACAGGCCCCGCACCCAGCTTCATGCGGCACTGCAGGCAAAGCGACACGGTTAAACATTCCTGCCAATTGCACACACAATGCGCACAATAGGCGCGAGATTGCAAGAGGCAAGCGCTGCATGGAATTGAGCCGACTGTGTTTACAGCCACAGAGTGAATATGCCGAGTGCGGGCGGAGTGAGCGAGGCGAGGGGGATTTTAACATGAGAGAAATCACCAGCCAGCCTGCCCAGTCCTCGAGGCACGGATCCAATCCCCAAAATGCACTCGGCTCACTCACTCAACGCACAAGCAACACATCACGAACAAAGCGCAGACACACAAGCCGGACGCACAATGCAGCCACACACACAGATACAATGTAGCATCCACACACACACAATGTAGCTACACACACACACAATGTAGCTACACACACACACAATATAGCCCCACACACACACACACATGTAGCTCCACACACACATACACAATGTAGCCCCACACACACACACACACATGTAGCTCCACACACACACACAATGTAGCATACACACACACACAATGTAGCTACACACACACAATGTAGCATCCCCACACACACACACACATGTAGCTCCACACACACATACACAATGTAGCCCCACACACACACACATGTAGCTCCACACACACACACAATGTAGCATACACACACACACAATGTAGCTACACACACACAATGAATCCCCACACACACACACAATGAATCCCCACACACACACACAATGTAGCCCCACACACACACAATGTAGCATCCACACACACACACAATGTAGCCCCACACACACACACACACAATGTAGCTACACACACACACAATGTAGCCCCCCACACACACACAATGTAGCCCCACACACACACACAATGTAGCTACACACACACACATGTAGCTACACACGCACAATGTAGCCCCACACACACACACACACAATGTAGCATCCACACACACACACAATGTAGCATCCACACACACACACAATGTAGCTACACACACACACACAATGTAGCTACACACATGTAGCTACACACGCACAATGTAGCCCCCCCCACACACACACATGTAGCTACACACACACACACACAATGTAGCCCCACACACACACAATGTAGCTACACACACACACAATATATAGCCCCACACACACACAATGTAGCTACACACACACACACAATGTAGCATCCACACACACACAATGTAGCCGCACACACACACAATGTAGCTACACACACACACAATGTAGCATCCACACACACACGCACACAATGTAGCATCCACACACACACACAATGCATCCACACACACACACAATGAATCCCCACACACACAATGTAGCATCACACACACACACGCACAATGCATCCCCAC